GTATCTGGTGAAGTGGCGAGGGTACCCGGAGTCGGAGAACTCGTGGGAGTATGAGACACCCCTTCGGCAGAATTGCCCTTACGCCGTGGATGTATTTAACATCGTGACCAAGGTCGCCTTGCGGACGAGAACGCTTCTCACCAATAGTGATGGGAGGTAGCGTGTTGATCCGCACCTTAGGATCGTGACCCGTGATTGCCATTGTAGCCGGAGCATAACGCGTACGCAACTGGCCCCTGGCCTTGAGCTTGGCATACTCGAACCGGAGCTTTCGTTCTCGACGAACGTCATCCACATCGGCGCTGGCCCGCAGCGCTGCAACACTGCTAAGGTGCCGCTTGCGGTACACCGAACGGATGAACTGATTATCCTCCTCCTCGGGAAGTTCGCCAGCGAACAACAAGATAGGCAGGCCCTTTATCGGTCGAACCGAAACACCATGAGAGAGACTTTTAAGGTGTGCCAGGTACTGACCTTGCGTGGTTAAGAATAATTCGAGATACCTCTCATTTAGAACCTTACGGAATGCAATGTCTTCCGGCGACGTAGCCTCTGGTGCAATTTTCCATGTTGCGAGGATACGGCCTTCCGTTTGACGGAGACGTTGCTCCACGTCAGGTGTTGCAAACACGTAACCACTCCGGTTCTGAACAACCGCCTGGGTATGCGCTCGACGTCGAGCTCTCTCCCCACGCTGAAGGATTGGGCCCTGTTGCTCGTCGAGCGGGTTCGTGATGATGTTCTCACCTGCATCTGTTGTATGATGCTGCGCCACTGTCGCAATGGTATCACCACGTTCAACGAACGTATTCGGGGCTGTTCGAGGACGAGCCTCAGGTACAGCGGAGTGGGATGATATCCCGTCATCTCCATGGACACTGGTATCACTACCATAGTCCGCATTCTCATCGAAGCCGAGGTAAGAGGAAAGAGTCCGAGACTCGTTTGGTGGCAATGCCATGGTGTTTCGTGTTTAGCAACCGCGAGGTTAAGCACACACACACACCAACCTCTTCGAGGAAAGAAGCCGATTACCGTTTTGTGGTAACGTCAGTCTGGTGGGGGAGGGTGTAACGGGGTTACACGTCGGCTGGAAGTCGACGATATGTGTGGTGCACACAAGAGAGGGGGGTACCCTATAAAGAAATTTTAGAACACAGTGAGTGTATCAATTGTTGAAGACTGATGTCTGTCATCAATTGATTACGAGATCTTTTAAGAGGTTTATTTAGGACATCAGCGAGTAGGTTAATCACGTTGTTCTAAGGTGTATTTTTGGGTTTAATAAAGAAATAAAAATTCAGCTCCCCTTTTGATTAATGAAAGACACGTGCCTCACGAGGCGTCTTTGATCGGTAGATGCTAGCAATACCTGTGAAGATAGCTACTCCTGAGCACTCTGTGCTGTGATTCTTTTGAATCGTTTGGTCCCTTAGGAACGGGGATCGTAAGCTCTCTGAGCTTAATGACTCTATGAGTCGGGTTCGTAGAACCAAAGTTGTTTGTAAGAGCGTTAGGTCTTCCTCTGACTTAAGGAGCTGTGAAGCTCCGCTTCAAAAATAGCTTGAACCATGCTTGCCGCCACTCCATTGACTAAAATTCGGATTTGATAGTGCAATTGGGTCGACAGGGTGACGTAGCTGGTAACAATGGAGCAGTAATGTCGTCGCGCTCCAGTATAGCTGGACAAAACACCTGAAGACGCTTACCGAGAAATTGAATCGTCTTTGCATGCCAGCTCACAGCAGCTGCTTGATCCGGCATAATGAAGGTCAGGCGCCTCGTGTCGGCGTCGTAACTTGTCCGCTTGGCACCCTTGACCAGTTCCCGACTCATGACATCGGGCCTCGTCTCCTCCTCGTGTCGTTCCAAGAGTTGTAAAGCAACGTCTTCTCCGCGATGTATTGAGGCATACACATATAAGGAGTAACAATCGCAATACCCTTGCCTTTGGAATACGATTCGAAACATTCAAGCATCACTACCCTTGTGGCCTGCGGGTGCGTGCAGGCTAGATTTATAGGCGAAGAAGTGAAACGATGCCCCCCATCATCCATGCCGCAATAGCTTCCTCCGCAAGCGGAATCAGCGGACGCAGATCATCGTCCGGCTTCACAACCCACGCCCTGGTGGCCGCGCGGAACAGTACCTCCCTGCGATCCTGAAGAGCATCGGTTTCCTCTTAAAGCCAATGAACAGAACGGCATGATCAGTTCTAACAGCTAAGTCATGCCGTATCACTCAAGGGTTTGTGAAGGACTGAGTCCGTACGCCATCTGACTTATCTTCCTTCGACTTCAGCAGCAGCATGATCAGACCACAACCTGTTGGAGTTCTACATGCGCTGAACGCACGCTGGTGCGACGCTCAAGCGGGTCATATCAGACCTTGCGCACCGAACATCTGCATACTTTGTGGCATTCGGACATTAACACAGCACCGGAGTGTACGTTGGATGCGTCGGACGAGCCCGAGGTCCATGCCGTATGCTTTTTTGCTTAGACAGTGAATGACGACACAGTCGTCGCATACTATATCGTCGTATGCAGTGAAACCTGGCGCGGTAGACACTTTTGTGCACGGCGACACCAGGATATGCGCTATTCCTCTATCCGCATCATACTGCGTTGACACGAGAGACGCTTTTGCTTTTCCGCATTCACAGGTAACCCACGCTTCGAAGTGTCGGAACGAGCTGCAAACAAGGTTTCATACGTATCGACTACACGAACGAAAAGATAGACAAGACCGTTTGCAAATGTGTTTGATTTCCCACTGGTTACCATCTGCGCTGAACGAAAAGTGTATGTGTGTGTACTTTTACAACAACATTCAAATGGCAAGCACGCCGCGCTCGTCAGATACGAAACATCGCTGTAATGAGCGGTGACGAGGTGCGCGTCGATAGCATCAAGCAGTCCTAAGGCCCATTTGTGGTAAACGCCGACGCCAGACGGCACGCTGACACTCTCATCGTCTCTACCGCGTAAAGCATTTACGATCCCGAGAAACTGCAGCTACAGGTGTACACGGACGTGTACAAAGGTAGCCACGACGCCGACACCATTATAGCCGCTAGGTTCCACCGCCTCGTGTCGCCCGACACGCTAATTGCGGTAGACGCTCGGCTGCTTGCCGTAGTTACCCCCGTCATAGTTGCGGCTATCCGTGTCGACATCTCGGGAGCGACGCTGCTTTTCGCCACCAGCTTTCTGGCGATAGACATCACCGTTGTGATCGCGGCTATCTTTGTCGTCATCTCCGTAGCCACGCTTCTTTCTACCATGAGAACGGTTGGCATAAGCGCCCCTGTTGCCGTCACGGCTGTTACCGTCACGATAATCATCTCTGTAGACTCTGCGCACGTGATGGGACGTCTGCACGGCTTCCGTCGACGCATCCACGGTATTGCTCACAAACGCCAAGGCAGCCACGCTCAGCGCGCCGATCATGATACTGAGCTTCATCTTGCTTGCGAAGGTGTTGTGCTTTGTGCTGTTGTCGTACGTCCGAAGTTGGGGAATGAACTCACTTGCTGGGTCCGAGAGCTACAAGCGCACCCGATCTCGCTTCGTCGTCAAACTCTCTCTCGTGACGATTACGTCGTAAGAACCGTTAGAAGCTCAGTTCTGATTGCTCATCCAACCAAGTAGAGGCGAACGGTGTGTTTCAGTACGAAAGAAAATGTCACCGGAATGATTGACTGCAACAGTAGTCGCAAATGCACAGCGCAAAAGGTGGTCATCGCATGTGTTTGGTGGGCATCGGCTGTCGGCTCGGATAGTTGCAACGGACAACAGATTACTACGAAAAAGTGGGATGCATATGGTGCGTCAAGCATTCTTATGCTGTTTTTGTGTCGATCTGACTGGTCGAGCTGTACCAGACACCGCGTCTTATCGGATGTGCAGCAGCAGATACGTACTTCTCAGAAACGCATGTCCGTCATGCCCTGTTTTCCACGTGGTACTGCAGCTGTAGGCGTCGTAGTTGGACGGTGCATGTGGAACTGCGACCGTCCTAAGCTGTCTTCCCGGAGCTACATGCGACTTCTGCACGCGTGGTCAACATAGTGTCCAACAGCAGATGCACGGCGCGGGCGGAGCGCAATGCATGATGTGACCCAGCAACGGTCACGATGCTGGTCGACACATCGCATGAGCTCCTGATCTTATTTTCCTTCGTGATTGGGTGAGGTAAAAAGATGTGATGGCATGTTCCGTGGAACTTTGAACGCCTAGGTTACTTCCCTTGTGTGTTTTCTGTTTTGTGATTCTTGAGGGAATACCCGAGCATAGGCTCACGCGATCATCTGTCGACCAGCATTGTGACCGTTATTCAAGTCGCATAGAGAAGACTGTACTTCGGCTGGCGCCGTGCATCTGCTATTTGGCGTCATGCTGACCACCCGTGTAGAAGTCGCATGTGGCTCCGGGAAGACGGCTTAGGACGGTCGCAGTTCCACATGCAATGTCTATCTAGGACGCCTACAGCTGCAGTACCACGTGGAAAACAGGGCATGACGGACATGCGTTTCTGAGAAGTACGTATCTGCTGCTGCACATCCGATAAGACGCGGTGTCTGGTACAGCTCGACCAGTCAGATCGACACAAAAACAGCATAAGAATGCTTGACGCACCATATGCATCCCACTTTTTCGTAGTAATCTGTTGTCCGTTGCAACTATCCGAGCCGACAGCCGATGCCCACCAAACACATGCGATGACCACCTTTTGCGCTGTGCATTTGCGACTACTGTTGCAGTCAATCATTCCGGTGACATTTTCTTTCGTCTGAAACACACCGTTCGCCTCTACTTGGTTGGATGAGCAATCAGAACTGAGCTTCTAACGGTTCTTACGACGTAATCGTCACGAGAGAGAGTTTGACGACGAAGCGAGATCGGGTGCGCTTGTAGCTCTCGGACCCAGCAAGTGAGTTCATTCCCCAACTTCGGACGTACGACAACAGCACAAAGCACAACACCTTCGCAAGCAAGATGAAGCTCAGTATCATGATCGGCGCGCTGAGCGTGGCTGCCTTGGCGTTTGTGAGCAATACCGTGGATGCGTCGACGGAAGCCGTGCAGACGTCCCATCACGTGCGCAGAGTCTACAGAGATGATTATCGTGACGGTAACAGCCGTGACGGCAACAGGGGCGCTTATGCCAACCGTTCTCATGGTAGAAAGAAGCGTGGCTACGGAGATGACGACAAAGATAGCCGCGATCACAACGGTGATGTCTATCGCCAGAAAGCTGGTGGCGAAAAGCAGCGTCGCTCCCGAGATGTCGACACGGATAGCCGCAACTATGACGGGGGTAACTACGGCAAGCAGCCGAGCGTCTACCGCAATTAGCGTGTCGGGCGACACGAGGCGGTGGAACCTAGCGGCTATAATGGTGTCGGCGTCGTGGCTACCTTTGTACACGTCCGTGTACACCTGTAGCTGCAGTTTCTCGGGATCGTAAATGCTTTACGCGGTAGAGACGATGAGAGTGTCAGCGTGCCGTCTGGCGTCGGCGTTTACCACAAATGGGCCTTAGGACTGCTTGATGCTATCGACGCGCACCTCGTCACCGCTCATTACAGCGATGTTTCGTATCTGACGAGCGCGGCGTGCTTGCCATTTGAATGTTGTTGTAAAAGTACACACACATACACTTTTCGTTCAGCGCAGATGGTAACCAGTGGGAAATCAAACACATTTGCAAACGGTCTTGTCTATCTTTTCGTTCGTGTAGTCGATACGTATGAAACCTTGTTTGCAGCTCGTTCCGACACTTCGAAGCGTGGGTTACCTGTGAATGCGGAAAAGCAAAAGCGTCTCTCGTGTCAACGCAGTATGATGCGGATAGAGGAATAGCGCATATCCTGGTGTCGCCGTGCACAAAAGTGTCTACCGCGCCAGGTTTCACTGCATACGACGATATAGTATGCGACGACTGTGTCGTCATTCACTGTCTAAGCAAAAAAGCATACGGCATGGACCTCGGGCTCGTCCGACGCATCCAACGTACACTCCGGTGCTGTGTTAATGTCCGAATGCCACAAAGTATGCAGATGTTCGGTGCGCAAGGTCTGATATGACCCGCTTGAGCGTCGCACCAGCGTGCGTTCAGCGCATGTAGAACTCCATCAGGTTGTGGTCTGATCATGCTGCTGCTGAAGTCGAAGGAAGATAAGTCAGATGGCGTACGGACTCAGTCCTTCACAAACCCTTGAGTGATACGGCATGACATAGCTGTTAGAACTGATCATGCTGTTCTTTCCTTTGGCTTTTAGCACTTTATAACCTCTGCAAACGCTTCGCTGCGGTGCGCGGCTGTGATTTTTGCTTTTGTGAAAGGCCCAGCTGCTTTACGTAATTGCACGCAGTGGATAATGAAGGGACAAGCGACGGACACACACCAGCATTACTGGTTGCACACGCCCTAAAAGTGCAGGACCCCCTTTTCCACATGAACCTTCTAGAATGCAATTGTAAATTGTCAACGCAACTTGCACACAGCTACAAAACAAACATGTGCAAGCCAAGTTGATACTTGCGAGTGGATCTGTACCGGCGATACACTTTGGCGGTGCAACCACGGTAGAGGTACGTAACGCTGTGTTGTACAACCTTTATCAATAAGTTCTGTACTGAAATCGTTAGCTGGGGGTTCACGCGCGTCGGCCACCCTGAAAGAAACGTATCAGGTTTTACTCCGGTAGGGAGTACAAACTTATATTGAAGTACACGTATAACCTTTTGTCACAATTCTCAAAAGTAGACAAACAGCAGCTCGCAGTTTGACCGATAAGCACTCGTGCCTTGTCCAGGCGCCCTATAATCATAAGAGTCTAGAAGTGTTATTACGGCGTGTACTCTTGGGCACCAGTTGCCACTCGATTCTACGAATCGTACGACCCTTAAACTAGGAGTACGAGCAATGTGATGTAATTTGATCTCTTAGTCCTAAGATTGTATTTCCTTGAGCTCGTAGACTAGTTGAGTCGTTGTTCCAGAAAACAAGTTAATTCAGGAGTCGTCTTTCTCAGAGCTTGTTAATTCTCTGAGTCCTGATTCACTGAACATGGTGCCTCAATATTTCACTGCTAGTTCAAGAAAATAAGTGGCTCTCTGAGCTTAAGCCATCCTCTGGAAAGCACCTGTAGTAGCTCCGCTACGTTTGATAGCACTTTAGTATATTTACTACAGATTCTGTTAAGTCCAATCCTCTTCGAGGATGGAGCAAGTTATCCCCTTCTCTCTGAGGTCCAAAAGGTCGCGCTTACTAAACTGACCGATTCTTCGGGTTCAGAGTATGTTTGACTTTCTTGTATCGCAAGGCTAGGACGTGTTATACACACTTCTGGAAGAAGATTCGCCAAATGAGTCTTTCCTGTTTGCATAGGTCTACGGCCAAATGGCGTCGGAATATGTTGACACGATTTGTTTATGTATTGGACGAAGAAGCTAAGCCTTGTCCACCCAAGCTGAGCGTCAAAACTTACTACGGGAGGATGGGGGGATATTACTCTCTGGACTCGGGAGGTAGAGGTTTTTATGAAATCCAGCATGCTCTGTTTAAATTATCAGCATGTATCGATGGCTGTATCTCCGCTCAACGGAAGATAGAGAATAACTCCTAACGTGCGGCACGTCAGTTGATGCTGCATTTTGCCCACACGGAAATCGCTGAAGCGGTAGATTCTACTCGTATAATTGCCGACCAACCAGGCACATCGCGTGCGAGTACGCTTCTTATCTACCTTTAACGGCAAGAGTAAGCTAACGGCTATGTACAAGTGTTGAGAGCACGTATGGATGCTATGCAGATTGATCCTTGCTTCGAGGTGGTCAGTGCGACCGTGTTGATGGAAGGTCTTGGTACTGGCGTTTTCAGGACGAATGACTTTCGGGCTCACCCTTCACCTCTGTAGAGGCTGTGCAAATAGCACTGAACGCTAAATTCAACCTTAAGTCATCTAGACTTGATTGGATTGGACGTAGAACATGTTCTCCAATCACAATCGGTGCACATGCGGCTTGGACATTGAGCCTATGGTCCATCGCAATCATTAAGGCAAAGATGAAGCTGATCTGCAAGCTGCTGAGCTACAACGTGACATTCACCGACGTTATACATGAAGGTAGCATTAATGCCTGCTTGCGAGTTGTCCGTTCCGCAAACAGTGCCAGGCTTCTATGAGTCTAGTACTTGCCTCAAACTAGAACTATGGTACGGCGCGAGGGAAACGACATGTCTTTGAAAGCGCGGAGCGTCCTATCGAGAAATATTATGTCATGTTGTATATTATGTTGGTGGAGGTGAGAAAGTCTTATTCACTCATAGCTTTGTACTCAATAACGTAAACCTAGTTCGCAAGCCAGGCTTGCTTGTCATGAAAGCGACTGTTAGCAAGTTTACAATGATTCTTGTACGGTTTCAATAGATTCTGGAGCAGCAGAAGACTATGCTCGACGCTAATCCCTGGATCAGAGTCAGTAGTATGCTGAGTCGCTGGAAGTGCAAAGTAGCGAATCTGGCACTGTTTGACTGGCAACAAGACCGCGTGTAACGTGCTAACGGTTTGACAAACAAGTCACGAAGTTCTTAAAGCTTGGCGTCGTGGAATGTGGATGAGACCTTGACTTCGGCATGATATATTTGAAATATCCTAGGCATAGCATGGATGAAACGACATAAGTCATGGATTGATAAGAGGTGTGGGTTGTTTAGGTATAACGTGCACTGTCTCTATTGGGTCTCTGGCGAGTCATAATTCCCTTTGTCTGAACACTTTGGCGATATGGACGCGATCTTCTGCCCAATTTGTTCAGCGTGCTAACCATTGGATTCTTAGAGATAATTGAATCCAAAGATATCAACCATATGAGCTCAGAGCGAAGATTTTGCTGATAGCGATACGGCAAGCAATCCGTTGCTGGATGCCTGGGGAGCCCAATTTTCTCGACTGATGTGAGATGTAAGGTATTGCGAAATACCCGACAGCGTCGTCAAATAGACGATGCAAGGTGCAGACAGTCTTTTCCATGACAGTGTTATGACAGAAATACACTGTATGGTCTTTTCAATGGCGTGATGGCAAGGTGATTGACATTGTTGCCTTAGGGATATTTATCTTTGTATTCTATTACATTGGTTGACAAAATAGAGAATGATGCTTTTGGTCAGGCTTAAAGGACGCTGATTTATTCGCATTCGTGGCCATTCGACCTAACATTGAGTTAAGTATATCCTCGATTCAGAAATAGTCGGTCCCTGAGGATACGAAGTTGGCACTAAAGGCCGGTAGTGGATCTTAGAATCCTGAAAAAACTTATTGGGTCTGGATTATCACGTGATAAAGAGATCATGAGACTCTTTTTGCACATTCCAATGTCCTTCATACCTCCCGATAGAGACGTACGCCATCGAGTTGATCTAGTTCCGGGAACAACATACCGCGTTATACGGTAGTGGCAGTAGCAAAAGGAACAGTGTGACGTCATTGACGATTTAACTTGAATTGTTGCGGTACAAGGCAGATAATGTGCGTGATTGTAGGTCTCGCCGTTATACACTTTCCTTCTATGTCAGAAATTTGAATAGCAAGTGCCACCTTGTTCATGTTGATAAGAATCAAAATGCTGCCGTCATTCTGACTCCGACCTCTATTCCTAGAAATTGTGCTTCGCAACGAAATGGTCGATAGTACCTTTTATAGTGCACTCGACTTAGTTGATGGCTATTTCCACTTGCTCATGTGAGCGAGTGATGTTCCGATGACAGCGGTGAGCACAGCTAGTGGTATACTCTGGGGTGTCATTTGATGCACCAATTTTCATTGGGCTCCCCGGCTACATTCAATCGTCTCGTGACGCAATATTTCAGACCTCTCCGAGGCTATTCGCAAACGTAATCAGATGTCATCGTCGTATTTATTAGTGCAGAGAACGGTCGGACAAATATGGACAGCAATATTGACCATTTACGATTTGTGATTGAGTGCGTGCGCACCAATAAGTAGTGTGCTGCTGTACCAACGTACATCTTACCTGGTGAATAAAATCATTCACTACGGTGAATGATTGGGCAGCAAGAGTGGGTGCATATAGTTCATAGCCAAGGTCATTTTTGTCTGGCCGGTTCCGAAGAAATAAATGAACGTACGTAATTGGCTTCATCTTGACAACCACATCCACAAGTATAGTGCGAATTACGCATGAATGGCTCCGTCATTATTTCTCACCTAACATATTTTCTGAAAAAAGAAGTGGAGAGGCGCTAAAATTACATACATGACAATGTTTGCTAGAAGTAAAGGTGAGCCTCCTCCAGTTCTGTTTGGGATCTGCCGGAACCAGAGCAG